ACCTACAGACCTGTTTCCCGTTATGGGCCAGGGGTAACCATGGCCTCTGTCAGCCCCATAGGGTGCGTGTGGGGATCTTCCATGTAGTGAGATGCATAATGTCTGGGGAACTGCAAGGTGCTGTACAATCCAAGGGCCAACTGTTTTCATGAAAAGAAGAGAGGGAGGAAAAGCGACGAAACGTTTATCCTTACTCATTCCACTCCCTAAACACAGATATTCCATGACTTTATAAGGAAGATATACAGAGTAACCTGGATTTAGAATCTGTGGGAGCCCTGGGCTGATTTTCAAATCCTTATTCGAACTTGCACGTTAGGTTTGGATATGGTTCAAACCATGAAAAGAAAGGGCTATTTTTCAATGTCTGGCCCATTTTCTTTGCCCTTCTCTCCTGGTCTCTCTGCAGGCTTGAGGATCCTCAGGAGGTTTTATTTCTAGGCCTCTTCTCTCTGGGCACAGCAGCTGCTCTACGTGGACTTCTGTGACTCCTGCCTGTGACTTCAGCACTGCCACCCAGCTGCCCTCAGACCAAGGACCTGGGGTCTGCATTTCCCCTGGCTTTTGGCCAATGTCTTCTTTCTTGCCTCTGAATCTTAGAACTCAGATCTTCAGAAGTGGAAAGAGTGGTTACCAACAGTTTGTCTGGTGGAGTGGAGTTTGGGTGCAGAGGGATAAAGAAACTTTCTCGAACCCAGACAGTTAGCTTAAAATAGAGTTGGCTAAGATTGTCTGTTCCCAAACTTTCTGTATGGCCTCTGGAAATGCCTCCTTTCCTTAAACTTCTTTGTCACTTGCCTTTAACTTGTCTGTTGCTGACCTCACCCCCTGACCCTTCACCCTAAGGAGACATAAATCTGGGAACTAAGAGCCACTGTACTTTTCCTCAAACTGAACAGTCTTAAAGTGGCATGGTCCAAAAATATCATTACAACCAAGGAAAAAAAGAATCCCCAGCCAGATTTTCCTCAGAGAACCAGGCCTGTTTAAACACTGATGAGCTTCAGTTACAGTACTCACAGCAAAAGAAGCCCAGCGAAAGCCAAAGAAAGAGAATGGGCCTGAAATCCCAGCACGCTGTGATGGCAAATTCGAGCCCAGTCAGGCAACCTGGCAACATGGACAGAGCTCATCTCAAAACAAGAAATAAGAAAAGGATTGAAGATGTAGCTCAATGCGAAAGCCCTGGGTTCAAGTCACAGAACAATAACCAACAGCGTGGAGGCCCACAGCTCCAGCCCACTCCCCACAGGGCCTGAGAGAACTCAGTTCAGCTCGCTGAGCTGTGGTTCTCTCCCAGGAAGACGGGGAGCACAACAGCAGCTGCCAGGTTTGGAATGCAGATGACAGACTGGATAAAGCTCTCCTTGAATAACAGGAGCTCAACAAACAGCAATTATTGCTGTCAAGGCTGCCCTCATTTGAGACCACCCATCCCAAAGACAAGTTGAAATCAGTTCTCCAGTCCAGCTGTACACGAGAACCATCCAGGGAATTTGTTTTTTTTGTTTTGTTTTGTTTTGTTTTGTTTTGTTTTTGTTTTTTCTTTTTTCTCTTTTGAGTCCCAATACCCAGATTTTATCCTTGGTGATTGTGCTTCATTGTTTTGGCAGTAGGTCCTAGGGAACCAGTGTATTTTTCAAAAAGCTCTCCAGGTGATTCTAATGTGCACCTGTGGCTGAGAACTGTGGTCTGAATCAGCACCTCTCAACACTTAGCAGGCATCTGAATTTTCTAGGTGTCTTCCTAAGATGTAGGTCCTGACTCATTAGGTCTGGCGCGAGACCATTTCTAACCAGTGACCAAATGATGCTGATGCTGCAGGAAGAAAGGCAGGTGATGCCCAGATAGTTGGAAAGGATGCAGGATTATTTCCCGCAGCTCTGCCCAGCCAGGCTGGGGTGCACAGAGACTCAGAACTAAAGCCTGTCCCCAGAATGTTCTCTGGTTGGGCAGAGCTGCGGGAAATAATCCTGTTGGCCACTAGCAAATTACTAGTGTCTCCATACCCTGCATTCTTTTTTTTTTTTTTTTTTTTTGGCTTTTTCCTTTTTTATCGGTACCAGGGATTGAACTCACGACTGCCTGCTTGCAAGGTAGGCGCTTATGCCGCTGAGCTAAATCCCCAGCCCCAATACCCTGCATTCTCAAGATCACTCGAGGTCCAGGGAGAAGTCAGAAAGGGAAGGACCTTGTTACTTTCACTCGGATGAACAATGCACAGGAGATCATGGCCTGCCTTGGCAGGATGTCCCAGCCAAAAGGAGCTAGAACAATAGCGACTCTGGGCAGCCAGACTCCTCTGATCAGTCAAGCAGGACAGCTTCCTGCCTGGAGCTGGCTCAGTAAGGGCACAGTTGGAGGGGCTCTGGGGAAACATGAGCAGGGAGGCAGCTGGGTGCACGGCCCCTCTGCCTTTGAGGTTGGTGTATTTGGTGACCCTGAACATCAACAAATACAACACTGACTGGGCACCAACGATGTGCCTGTCAGTTTCATAGAAATCCTTCCATTGGATCTTTGCATCAATTTTGCAAGAAGCCAGGCATCACTATTTTCATTGTATCCAGGAGGAAACTGAGGCTCAAGAGTAACTGACAAGGGGGGGAAGGATTTAGCTCAGTGGCTTAAGTGCCTGCCTGGCAAGCACAAGGTCATGAGTTCGATCCCTGGCACCAAAAAAAAGAGTAACTGACAAGGAAGCTTACACAGAACAAAGCCAGGAATGGAACCCTAGCCCATGCTTCCTTATATTGATGCTCAAAACTCTTAAATCTCTCAGTGACTCAATTTACCCTTTCACAGTGGCAGAGGAAAACAGGAAGAGTATAAAAGCTGGATAAGGTCTTCAAGAAGGGACAAAGCTTATTATAATTACTCTTAATCATTATGATTATTAAGTGTAATTAAGAAGTGTTGAGAAAAAAGAAAGGGATCTATACTCTAAGTAGGGTAGCTAAGGAAGATCCTGGCCCCAGGCAGTTTCCAGCCATCCAGGCCCTCTGCGAGGTGAACAGCACCTGATGATCCAAGGAGAAAACCCAGGCATCTCAGGGAAGAGCCAAAACCCCCAAGAGCTCAAGGAAGGAGACCACAAGAGATGAGCAAGTTTTTGGCACCCAGGCCACCACACCAGGCCCAAGCTTGGAAACTAAGGTTCAGTTAATGTGCTGATGGCCCCAAAAAGCCATCATCCACCCCTGCATAAGCCCCAGGAAGCTTCTGAAACAAACAGAGAGCACTCAAGGGAGTGTTCCACTCCAAAGAGTACAGAGCTGAGGGCTGCAGAGGCCACACCAGGAACTTTTGTTCCATACAGGCCCACACCTATCCCACAGCCTGGTCCTTTCTCCTAGCACCTTGGCAAGATGGGGTTCTGGCAGGGCTCCCACCCTGGATTAGTATTACAACCGGAGAACCCAGAAAATGGCTCCTGACTTTTCTGCTCCATGAAGTTCCAAGGCTTAAATATAGATGTGAGGGAGAGATGACAACAGGCAATGGTAAAGCCACAAGATGAAATATTTAAAATAATTTTAAAGCTACACCATTCCATTTTAAATACTCATAGGTAGCTCTCAGGGAGGTGGTACACACCTGTAATCCCAGCATTTGGGAGGCTGACACAGGAGGATCGTCACAAGTTTGAGGCCTGCCTGGGGTACATCGTGAGTTCAGGGCTAAGTAAGCAAATAAATAAATAAATAAATAAATGCTTACATGCAGTCTTACATGAAAAGGCGCCGTTCAAGGAATATAATCAGGTCATAACCAATTTTTAAAATCTACATATATTTTAAAAATAGAACAGAAGGAAGCACAATCAAATGTCAGCAGCAGCAGTATTTACATTATCAGAATGATCAATTTTTATTGGGAATGAAGCATAAACAACCCAGGGACAAGAAGACCACATCCTGTCCCCAGTCAGTTGTCTCGGCTGCAGAGATTAAGCCCTGCTTGTTCAAACCAGCAGACAGCCCCCAGCCTTGAGCTGTTGCCGACACAGAGCAGTCAAGAAGCCCCGGGGCTGTTGTGGGCGCATGTGGACAAGCCAGCCTGCCGGAGCCTTCCCGAGGGGCCGAAATTCCCCAGGGAACTAAACAAAAGCCATTTGTCTTTCAAGTGCTCTAAAGGAGTTCGGCGAAAGACATCAAAGTGAAACCCGTAATCAGGTGTTCCGCCCCAGGCAGAGGCAGAAGACAGCTGCCCTGTGGAGTCCAGCGTCCCTTAGAGACCCTCAGCATGCAGGATTCTTGCCTGAGCTGCCACCCCCAGCACAGGGACTGTAAGCAGACAAGCTTCACCATATGGGGTGTGGGAGCCTCCTGGGGACGCCCTGGCGAGCAACAATGGCAGGTCCCTAAGCTATGTGCATATGTGAGGAAGCAAGGGGGTTAAAAGAGCAGGCACCGGCCGCAGCTGTCTCCAAAGACACTAATTACAGGGGTTGTGCCGCAGAGAGGCTCTAGAGCTCGCGCTGCCTGCAATCGCGGCCTGGGGCTGAGGGCCCGTGCTCTTCCAGCTTCCTGTCCTCGTCACAGGGTCAAGAGACCTGTGTTGGGGCCAGAGCCCCTGGGATGTGGCGAGGGCTACAGAATGTGCTTCTCTGGAGATTTTGAAGATCAAGCTTCTGGAAGAGTTCAACCCTGGAATGAGAAAAGGGGACATCCCTGTCCCATGCAGAGCCAGAGGAGGGACAGAACTAAGTGGAATGGAGAGAAAAGTAGTTTTCTAGGAGTCTCTCACATCACCAAAGGTGCTCCTCCTGGGATGGCAGCCAGAGACAGCTGGGAGGAATGTAAAGACAAGGAGGCAGGCAGGAGGAACGCCTGCTGGGTCCTGTCCCCCAAGCTCTTCAGTGTCTTAAAACAGTCATCGACATGGCTACAGATCCACCAGGAATGTATGAAATGGCGCTTCTAAAAACCAGCAGCTTCTGCTGGGCGAAGTGGTGATCACCTGTAATCCCAGCCAGCAATGAGGAGGGTGAGGCAAGAGGATCCCAATTTTGAGTCCCACCTGGCGCAACTTACCAAGAGACTTTCTCAAAATAAAAAATACAAAAGTGCTAGGGTTGTAGCTCAGTGGTAGAAGACCCCTGGGTTTCCATCCCCCATACCACACACACACAATTTCTAAACAAGTGGGGGGTACCGTTATGATTCATGCAGTGTCATTTTAAAGCGGGGGGCATTTTGTTTCCCCTTCAAAGAGATAATACACAAATCAGAAGCAAAACCAGACAAGCACATGCGTGACCTTTCCAAGGGCACACGCTGTGAAAAGGGGGACAGTGCTACTACAGCAACAGGAGAACCGGCTCGGAGGCTGCCACTGCGCCTGCCCTCGGGGCCGGCCGGGGAACGCAGGACCTAAAGCTCAGGAAACAAGGGAAGAAATAAAGAGGTTGGAGCCCCACGTTCCTGGGAATGAGGCCGAGATGAAAGGGAGGCACAGCTGGGGGAAGCAGGCCGTGAGAACAGACCGCCAATTGTTCCCGGGACGGGAGGCGCAGGGCGCTGCCACTGCCGCTTTGTGCTTAATGTCATTAAGGCCCGGTGGGGGCCAATGTTTGGAATCCGTCACCTCCCGCCATTCTCACGGCGCAGCTGAGAGCGAGGGGCTTTAAGCAGGGTGGCGAGGGCTTTCTGAGCAGCTCAGCTAAAAGGGGCAGCGAGGGGCAGGCGGGCCTGGGCGGCAGGAGGCCGAGCCCTCGCCGGGGCGCCCGAGAGGCACTTCCGCCCCCTCGGCGCTGTCCCCGGGAGGCCCCAGCCTTGCTACTGCCCTGACCCCAGTTAACACTCCCCCTAATAGCTGCGGATGCATAGAGCCTGAGAGCCTGAAAGCGCAAGAGCCAGAGTTAATTAACGAAGGAAAAAAAAAAACAAAAAACCGTCTGCGCCTCCTCTCCACTGAGCCTCCCCTCCTCCCCACAGCCTCAGGCGCGCTGGGCCAGGGAAGCTCCCGAACCAGCGAGGCAGGGAACTCCAGTTCTGGCGCCAAGAGCAACACCAGCACTTGGGCTACTGCACAAAAGCAGCTGCGTCTCCCGCCTCACGCTGATTCCCCACATTTCCCAGGTATGCCCAGGCCCCCCCCCCCCCCCGCCTATCCGAAAGAGAGCCTCACAGCTACTTAAAGCCCAAACCGGCCGCTCTGGACAAAGGCAGCCCAAGCACTTGCCACTAAGGTAGGATTCCTCCAAAGGGCAAGGGGACATTGTGTGGGTGACACAACGGTAATTCATGCAACGCAAGAATTTTACCTCATCTAACCTCCCAACTACCCTGGGCGGGAGGTACCAATCTTATCTGCACTTCATAGATGGGGAACCTGCAGCTTGGAGAGCATAAATAACTACACCGAAGGTCAACAAGCCGGCAAGTAGCAGAGGAAGAACACAGCGCCCCACACCCTGACTCAAAGACTGTGCACTGAACCCTAACCTCCCCTGGTAAGAGGTACCTAGCCCAGGTTCCTGCCTCTATGCAACCCTGTGAAGACAAACGCCCACTGTAATGTGTTTGTGTATGCATGCACTCCTTAGGGTGAGGAGAGGTATCAAAATGGTCTTAGAGGATCAGGGGGGTCTGGGGCCAGCAAAAGGTTAAGAGCCAACAGCCACAGCCTAACACTCCAATGCTTTGCAAAGCTGATTCCACGACACAGACCTAAGTGGAGTCCTCTACTTTTCTCTTTCACACCTTTGCTCTCAAGAGGTGGCCTGACTTTCTTTCAGAGGGTGTCAAACTGGCAGTTTGACAGCCCAGGCAGCCTGGCAATGAAAATCCACCCAACCTGCTTGGGTGATGCTGTCAGGAAATGCAATGGGCGGAGGGAGAGAAAGCGTTAACAGCCAGGCCCTAGAGGATTAAGGGATTTCCTACACAGCGTTTATTACTTCTTCCCACTGCTAAAAACAAGTTCTGACACTGTCCCAGTTCTGGTCCTGGGTTTTGTTTGGATCCATATCAAGTAATTTCATTAACAGCAGCCTAAAGTACCAGAAATTAACTGGGAAGGAAAAGTTTCTCTTTTGTTGTTGTAATTTCTTTTCTTTTCTTTTCTTTTCTTTTCTTTCTTTCTTTCTTTTTAATTGGTATCAGGGATCGAACTCACGACCATGCACTTGCAAAGCAGGCACTTATGCCGCTCTTTTCTTTTTTCTTTTGAGACAGGGTTCCACTATGTAAAATAGACTGGCCTCAAATGTTCGGTGATCCTCCTGCCTCAGCCTCTCAGATGCTGGGATTATAGTCTTGTGTCACCATGCCCAGCTGGAGGAAAAGTCTTTGTTCCAAGCTAATTTACTACAGTTTCGAAAACCACTGTCTGCCTAAAAACAAGGATGTCCCTTACCTGAGGCCACTGCCCTCATTTCCAGATGCTCAAAGACAGCAAATAATGATGCTGCTGCCAACCTTTGACTCCCAATATCACACACGATTCGGCATTCTCACTCTGATGCCATGAAGCAGGGTCGTTATTATCTCCAATTTAGAGATGATAAAATTAAGGATGTGAGAGACTCAACAGCTACCCAACAACACACAGCAAGTACATGAGCATGCTGGGATGCAAGCCTGGATCTATTTGGTCCCAGAGACAGGATTCTACACTGGGGCCATTAAAATCGTATCTGCAGACCACCCATGAATGATTAGCTATAGGTTCTTGGCAAGGTATGTACAGAAAAAAATATAGGGAAGAATTTTAAAACTTTATTTGCAAGTTGGCATTAGTGCCATCTCCGAGCCTGTGATCAGCGGCTTTGCCTCTCGGAGTAGGACAGAGACCAGTGCTGAGGGTGTCAGACTTGCACAGACTGCTCATGCTCATTGGCTCCTGAGCAAATGAAAAAACAAAACAAAACCCCTCATGTTGTGCTTTATTTCAGATAACCTGAGAAGCACAGCTTTAAAGCACTCTGCAAAGCCAAGGCATTGAGATGCTTAAATGAGGCCTTCAGTCACCACTTCAGCTCCCTCAGCCTCCATCCAAAGCCTTCCCAGACCCCAGTGTGCACACCCATGAACCACTTCTTAAAATGACTCAGGAAGTTCTTGGGGCGGGGGACTGTGACTGCCCCAGACCTGCACAACACACCAGGCCTATGAGGCTGGTGCTGGGTCTGAGCAGGCCGGAGAGCAGGGAAGGGACCCAGCCATAAGAGCTTTCCACTCAGAGTTGGCTGCACGAGGCTTTAGCATTGGCATTGGACTGGGCTCACAGGCAGCCCTTGCAAAATACCTCTCCCCACTCCAAGCCAAGGCCAGGAAGCTCAGCACCTCCACCTTCCTGTTAGTTGCAGACAAGACAGCCCTTTCTGTCCTACAGGCTTCACAGAAGACTGAGAAAAGCATCCACAAACACTAAGAGGAACATTACCCACAACCATGCCCAGAAGGAGGAGGCGTGGTGAGAAAACTGTGCCCGCTTCCTCAGCTCTGCACATGCCAGGGTCTCTGACCATGATGCTCTGGGAAGATGACCACATGCACACACTTAGGCAGCACTTTTTACTTCTTAAAAAAGCGATACTCACATATCCTTGGGAGAGCTAAGGTATCTAATTAATTAAGAGCTAAAGCCTCTGAGGAAGGGACATGCTGGGGTCAAACCAGGAGGACAGAAATCACCCTGAAGTGGTCTTTCTTTCTTTTTTTTTTTTTTTAAGTGGTCTTTCTTATGTCTTATGGCCAGGACACAGCCAGGAACAGCCCAATTCCAAATGGGAATGACCCCCCCCCCCATTCCTTGGGTGACCCTCAGGTACCTGAAGTACTCCCTGGAAATTCCTGAAAGTGTGGGCCTTCCTCTCATACCTAACCTCAGTTTCTCCTAATTCAATTTGCACTGTGACTATTATTAACAGGGCAGCTCCCATTCATTCATTTATTCAGAAGATCTATTCATTCAAAAACATAGATGGAGAAACTACATTGCTACGCTGTCAGGTGGCAGGCCCACTATTTGGGATCAGCAGCTGAGGGCTCTTCCTTCATGCTATTCTAAGAAAGGAAGAAATGGGCTGGGGATTTAGCTCAGCGGCATAAGTGCCTGCCTTGCAAGCAGGCAGTCATGAGTTTGATCCCTGGTACTGATAAAAACGAAAAAGACAAAAAAAAAAAAAAAAAAAAAAGGTAAATAAGAAAGGAAGAAATAAATGATAGGAGGGTCATGAAGCCATTAGCCAAGTCAAGGGGCACTGATTGTTCCTGGGTTGTGATAGAGTAGGTTTTTGATCAGTGGCTCCCATAACTGCATGAACCTGCAGAATGTCACAGTGGGCATTTGAGGTTAATGGTGCCCAACAAAAGGACGAGGGAATGGCTGGGATTATTGATATTCAAGGCAAACACATAAAGGTGTTTGTGTCCCAGTTTAAAGATGTTTGCACATGGTACAAATCCAGATCTAGGAAGCATAGGCCTAAAAAAACCCCACTGGATCTCAGGCAGCTCTCATGAAACCACAGAACTCTTTCACCTTTGCAAAATCAAATCATACTGTCCTACCCCCAAACTCTGCCACATGCATCGTGCATCACTGCTCGATGCCTATACCCCACTGCACCCTGCCACATTCCTCCTCTCCACATTCTCATCCCCAGAAAGTATGATCTGGCAGGGCTCTCCCACCTTGGGAACTACTGACATGTTATGTTGTCAAGGGCTATCCTGTAATTAGAAGTTATTTGTGACCTCTACCCATAAAATGCCAGTAGCACTACCACCCCTCAGTTGTGACAATATCAAAAGACTCCAGACACTGTCAGTGTGTGCTGAGGGGCAAAACTGTCCCTGTGTATGGTCTGCTTCCCTAGAGGGATGATTTTCAACCCAATAAAACTCATGCATTCTTGAGATATAGCTCAGTGGCACAGTGCTGGCCTGGCAAGCGCAAGGTCATGAGTTTGATTCCCAGTACAAAAACAAAAACAAAAACAACTCATGCATGCCTGGGCTCTGCCTCACGCAGGCAAAACCAGATATTCTGGTGTGCAGCAAGGTGGAAAACCACTGAATGTCCCCCTCAGGACACAGTACTGATCTAAGACACTCTCAGCCTGATCTAAGATTCTTCCAGGAAACAGGAAAATCTGTCACTCTATACCCTCTAATGATCTTCTAATGCATTAGTTGGTTCCTCCATTAGACCAAATTTCTCCAGATGCAAGATCTACATCTGCTTTTTTCCTCTCTCCACAAAGCTCTTCTTAAGAAAAAGCTCAAGAAAGCCTGGAAAATTCATAAGTGCCCTCCACCCCATCTTCTCATGAAAAAGCTGCTTTAAATAGCACCAACTGGGTCTGAAAGAGTATACATAAGGCCTATGTTTGATCCCCAGCACGCATGTGTGCTTGCACAAACACAACACCAAGTCACCCAAATTCAGCATGTAATTGGAAGAATTAAGAAGGGAGGCAAGAATAGAAGAGATGGGCACTGCAGGAGAATCCGACCACTGGTTTTGGGCCCTGTGTCTGAGTCTGAATGAGCTGATCAGGCTTTCCTTCTCAAAAGAGAGCCTCAGTTCTGGCCTGTAGACCCTGACCAGAGTAGAGGGTATAAGGCTGGGTTCATCCGCAGTGAAATCCACTCTCTCAGACTAGGTGTTCTTTCCTGGGCTGGCAGTGACTTTTAAACAAGTGAATACAGGCCCAAATCAGTTCCTTTCTGGTCCCTGCTTGTAAAGGCTGAGATTTCCACCCCCCACACCTTCCTCAAGGAGCCCAGGAGCAACTGGAAACTTGAAGGAGAGACCAGGCCAGCGCTCTCAGATATGATCAATCCCTGCATGGCAGCCCATGCCTATAGTCCCAGTACTCTGGGAGGCTAGGGTAGGAGGATCCTCCTATAAGTTCAAGTCTAGTCTGAGCAATTTAGCAACCTGGTGAGACCTTGTTTCAAAATAAAAAATAAAAAAGAACTGGGGAGATACAGGTCAATGCAAAGACCCTGAGTTCAGTCCCTACTGCCCCTTCTGCCAAAATATAAGAAATGCAATAGCAAGGGAGGGTACTTGGGCATGGACCCTGACCTCCCCTAAGAAGAGGCAGCACGTTTGGCATCCACTCTTCCTCTAACAGACACACAAGAGACCAGCTCATTCACGATCTAGTTGCTTAAAAAGAAGGTAGGCCATCCTGCCTGATTTCTATGCTTGTGGTAAGGAGGTGGGAGCCTAAAGATAAAAATGCAGAAAGGGAAGTCCAGGGACCAAGCTCTCCCAGAAGATAGCAAAGAGTATCCAAGTGCCCACATTTTAGTGCCTCCTCACTAAAATTCACTAACTAATCCATACGAATGCAAATTGCCAACGTGGTCATCTCATATTTAATGAATGGTTTAGTGTTCGCTCTGAGATGTTACTTGTTTGATATTCAGTGCCAAAAGGATGAGCAATCCTTCAAGATCTGCGCCAGGTGGCCCTGACTAGCTTGCTCAAATCAGTGCAGGGCAGTGAGGCCTTCCACTCTGAGGTGGCCAGAGTGACAGTGATCTTTCTTCCCTCCCCCTAAGTACACAAGCTCTCTCAGCCTGTTGCCTAGAGACTGAACACTGGCCTGGTGCTTACCCTTCTTTTCAATTGCCACAGGCAGGAGCTCTGGAAACGGGGGCCTCCAGGAAATACATCTGGGGCCAGGGCGAAGGGGGAAGCAGGCAGGACATTTCCTCCCAGGCAGGCCGGCTCGGTCCCCACTGCCCTCCCTCTCCTCCCCAGGTCTGAAAGGCCCCAGTAGGCTGGAAGTGAAGGGCTCCCACAGGGAACAAGGCCCCCTTTGAAAGCCTGTGTTTACCCCAGCTGCCTGTGGCCAGGGGTTGCCATGGCCACGGTCCACCTTTGCCAGCCAAGCCTAGGCAGACCCAGCCAGAGCCCAGCACCCAGACACTCCACCTTGGGGTGGCTCTATGGGGGCCCTACTGACCCCAAAAC